GTCCAACTCAATTCCCTGTGTGCATGATAGTTGATAATTGAGAAGTCCAGCTTTTGTCAGATTTCAGAATCAAATGTAATTCAACTGTACGTTCATTTCAGGGACTCGCAGCGAAATTAATGTTTTGATGACCGTATATTTATCGCATCTGTTCCGTCTCGGTATTTTGCCATTTGTTTTATATTTCGGCTGCCAGTTGAGCGTTCCTCATAATCAATGTTTTCCGTTTCGAAAAGAATGCTGAAAAGCAATGTTATAATGCTGCTTGGTATCAAGAATCACATTATTTTATCTTTAGACTATCTTCCTTTCAAGAATTTGTTTCACTGGAGACTTGATATTTGTTGTCTAATAAATGGTACCACGCAGCCCTATATCAAACAATGAGTCGGCGAGGTGAAATGAATTGGGGCGACTCACAGTTACAGTAATTTGAGAATGTGTTCACAACTACTGACAAACATTATTTGCAAGGGTTTTCTTTTTTTGGAACATACTACTTATTTTAAATGTCTTTCTTTTTTTATTTCAAAAACCCTCGGGGCCACTGGGGATTGCACACACAATGTAAAACTAAAGGGACACCGTCTTTCATGACAAGAAAAAAAACCTCCACTTTTCAGTGTGCAACAGCTCTTGTAAACCATCTTTCTAGGGGTGTCTTCCTTTATCTCGCTAATTTAAATGTCTTGAAGCATAAAATGTCACATACCATAAAAAATGTGAGCACTCAATCATAAAGCCAAAATTGCATATTTGTATTCATTCGGCACCAACAACATGCAGACCTTTCTCACCTCCAGAATTGCTTTGCATTTGCACTAAAAATGTTGAAACGCAGCCACCAAGCTCGGGCCACACCGGCCAGACATTCTTTTGTATTAGCTCCGTTGGTCTGACTTCGAAACAAGGTCGACAGTGTCTGTTTGTGCTTAAAGTCCTATGTGAGGCCGCAATTTTATTTGCTTATGATTGAAGCCTTGATTAGAGGTCTCTAGCCACAGCCAAGCTAGTAGTGAGTTTTAATGTTAACGTGGCAAATGCCTAAAGCTATAGGCCCCCATGTGAGCCAGTAGGAGCATCGAAGCGAGGCAGGTGACGGTGTCCTACTGGTATCTTTTCGTGCGGTACATTTTTATGTGTCTCACTCCGATGCTCGTGTTGACTCACTGGGCCCTTATTCTTGGACTGCTTGCCGTACGGCACTTGAGAGACAATGAGGAAGAAGAAACAAACGCATCACGACTGCTGTTTGCTTCTTTTACTTGTTTGCTGTGAATAGGTGCTCCTCTACTTTAAAGTTATCTGTGAAAGAAACACTACAAGAACAGCTTGACCACACTGAAGACTGGCGGTTCCCTGGCCCTCGTGACCCTCCTGTCAGGCAAGCTCCTGGACTATGTCTTTGAGGCAGACTTAGAGGTCAACATTTAGTCCCCTTCCTTAATACCTTGTGCTCAGGCCATAATGTCACCGGCACACCCTTCCTATCCCTTAATGCAGTTCCAAACGTTTTTAAGTGAATTTATAGGGTCAGCTCTCGGTGCCTTTGTGTCCGGGATGTAGCTTAGATTCAGGGTGCGGCCGCCGATTGCACGGTCCATATGAAATCGGCGATTGCTCTTGAAACAGCAGCAAAGCTGACTATATGTACTATCAGCGCCCTTGCGGCCTTTGTTGCACCCGACAATGGCAGGCACATAAAGGAGGAGGGGCAAGGGATGTGGCTGCAAAACAAAAGCGCCGAGCGTAGCAGCGACACAAAGCCAGTTGCCAGTACACAGTGGCTGACCGGCAATTTAAAGGGATACTGAAATGAAATCCTAGCACCTATTTAGTGTCTAAATGTCAACTATGTTGTAGCAACACCAACTTTTTGATCGAAAAGACCCCAAAACCTTGTTTCAAACAAATGAAGTGATTACCAAATTGCACCTGGTGGATGTTCACAAAGCTACTCGTGATGTTGTTACATCAACTGTCCCCTAAAAGCAGCGCCGCTCCGCGGAAGTATGGCGCCAGGCTCCGAGCACGCGTAGCCTCTCAAACTTGGCCGAACTGGATTTCCCTTCTCTCTTGCACCTATTCAGTTCCTACAGCTGGGGAATAGAAAGTGAGAGGGGGTGACACCAAGAGGAGGGAGAGGTTGGTGTAGTTTTTGGTCGCAGGTGAGTCCCTTCACCCCCCACTCAGTGCTCAGGTCGCCTAATAAGCCTTTGCGCATCTTGAACGGCTAGGTTTTAATGTGTTGACGCCACCAAGTGTCCAAGCTCATAACCATGCCAGCCTCGCCGTAAATTTGCTGGGACAAATGACATGAAGGCGCTTGTCAGAATCTGACATTTAGGATGAAAAATATAGTCGTCCATTCTAGTGTGATTCTCATTAGCAGATATTGTCCATGAGGCTCAACTTATTTATGAACGTGAGGTATATTTAAATTTTCATTTCAGTTTCCCTTAAGTGCCAGTTCACAGGCAATCATTTCGGTGTGATATGTAGTGTGTGCAACTGACTGGTATTGCTCACTTCTGCCCAAAACCAGCCAGGTGCACACACCTTTGAGTAAATGGCAGAGACAGCATCTCTGTCTCACCAACAACTTCAATTGTTGTATGCTTTCGTTCCCAAGGAATGTTGCGTAAATGGTACACACACACAACATTCCTCAACATTATAAAAAAGAAGGAAGGCTCGGTCAGTGGCTTTAAACATAATGACAAAATATGTCAAAACATCTGATATTTTGTATTCCATTTTCATTTTATTGCACAAACATTATTTTTTGTTTCAGTGAGGTTGAATGCCAGATGTCATTGACCACCAGAGCTGCAAGAAGGTTAATTTATCTCGATACCTCATACTTTATGTCATGCGAGAATATTGGCAGAACTTGACCTTACATCTTAGGTTTGTAACTTACAAGTTCATATTTTGAAGGGTACTGTAAACAAAGCAGTCATAGAACACATCTACAGCAAAACTCAATTGCCAGTTCTTCCCAGAAAATTAATATATTTTTTAGCATTTCTAATCGGCAGCTTTTGCTCAATGGGAAGGTCTTTGCCTACCCTAAGGGGGTAAGGTGTATATTTCATTTTATTTTTAGTGTTTAAAAATTTGGCTTTGAAGTTTGAATGTAAACTGCTGATTCAATCTGATTATTTAACTTGGAAAAGGGAAGTTTGTAACTTTTCCACTAATAATTAGAGGATGCAGATCATTTGCAAATTGTTTGTGTAAAGTATTTTTAACCTTTGTTTGCAACCTTGCAACATCGTTGTGTCCCTCTGTCAAGATTACATTTAAGTTTGTTTAGGTCGAGTGATTTAGTCCAGGGGATTTCCACCTTATATAACTATGTCATGTCTTATCAATAAAGACTCTTACATTCCCCCAAAGATTGTTCATAATATGAGTCGTCTATAAGGAGACAAAAATTTATGTATTTACCCAGTTCATCCCTAAAAATGGTGTCAATATTGTGGGGTATTCATATTAACAATGTCTATATTAACTATGTTATAAAAGGATTTGAGAAAAGAGCTAATGTATTGTTCATTTCTCTGACGAACACTTCCTCATCACAGAATTTCCATTATGTTTTCGAATCTATAAGGTTAGATGCCTCCTAGCTTATTTGTAGAATTCAGCAAAATCTTTGCTTGCATGAATTCTTCCATCATATCGTTCAATAGCTTCCTTATGATCTTCACACTTTTTCATTTCCACTTGTTGGGAAACATTTACAATATTTCTGCCAGTTTCTACAAAGTAAATATATATTTTATTGCCAACTATTCTGGAGTTTCTTATAATTGTATTGTAGGTGAACTTCCTTGCGAGAGTCCTATTGTTTGCATTGATTTATGTTGCATATCATTAATTCACATAGTATAAACCACTTCATTGTTTATGAAAAGTAAAAGCCCATGGCACAAATATAATGGTCCAGCGTCACAAGGAGCTGTTTCCTTTGCCTTGTTGACCGAAAAAAGCACCAACATCCAAAATGACAGCTACAGGAACCCTTTTGTGGAATGGTGTCAAGAACATTATCTTTCATGCACGGCTATTGAGTTTCTTTTGAAATTTCAGATGTGGCCTGAAATGCATTGATTGAATGCTGTGTTTAGAATTAATGCATGTATTTTCATCCAAGAAGTTGAAGCGCTGAACTTTGCAGTTCTGTAATTTGGAACTTTGATTTTGCATCCTCGAAATAAGATTTTTGGATGAATTTGAATGTATTTTGGTCTGGTGAATCCAACTACACGAATTGTATGTACTGGAAATATTGCAAACAAAAACAAAAAAAAAACGGATGAAAGGGCCATGACCCTGGCTTAACTGGCCAGTACTATCTCAAGCGCACTAGTTGATGTGGTGTGTGCTTTGCTATAACTGGCAAACTTGGGCATCCTGGGCTGCAACATACATGCACCAACAGCAGACGACGTGACAACTGGGGGTTTCGCCACCCCGGGGGAAATTGTATCTCTATTTTAAATGTGATTTTTTTTGTATAATCTGCTCATTGTAGAGCAAAAATTATTCTGATATCGGTGATTCCATGGAGGCCAGTAGAACAAAGGTTGAGTACTTTTCTGTCATATGCAAAACCCCATAAATTTCTCTTTAGGAAAGGGGCTTTGTGCAGTTTGTAGTTGTGCAATTGTGCCAATCTTTGGAAGTTGGAGGAGTGTTCTTCACTTTTGTCATTGATTTCAGCACGATTCACTTTTTCTCGGGCAAGTTGAAAGTTGGTGGCACCAGTGTGGAAATAGCCCTTGGACACTTGGTCCTAACTAGATGCCGAGTTTTGCAGAATTTGCCAAATCAAATCTATGCACTATCTTGTGGTGAAAGAATGCTGTGCAAGAAATTGGGAAATACACAGGGACCTGGAAGTGTGCCAGGGCTACTCGATAAATGATGCCACTGAATTTGTTGCCAAACCAAAAAGGGCAACTACAACCCAGTATTTGTTATTTTTGCAGACATCTCATACGGGTATATAGTGGAGCAGCAACCCATTGGTCGGCTTCTGTTCCGGCAATACTGCCAGACAAAGCCCCACTACTGCAAGTGCAATGGCTTTCTCGATGCTGTGGTATGTTGATTTGCTATCAAAATTTTGTTAAGTTTTCAGTGCCGTGGACTCTTCCTTCCTGGAAAATGATATGAAGGTTGTGAATGAAACAGCAATGGGACACAATCTTTATAAGTGGCTGTTGGTCTAAAATCTTTTGAACGTGTAACAATGTAATAAACAGTGTATGGATGGTCTGTTGTACAATCCCCAAATATATCAAATTCTTGGCTTGGAGTGTTGAGATCTCTTGAATCTCCCTCTAGGTGTAATTGGCAGATATGCAATGCACATATACCCAGTAACTTAAAGGGCAACTCCGGTCCATACTTTCAATTTTGTGATTATGACTGTTTTTAGTGCAGTCAGCGTCCCTGAATTGCAAGGTGTAATTTTTTTCTCGTTATTGTGCGTAGTTTTAAAGATATCGACGCCTCAAAGTTTTGTTTGGGGCGCGGCCAACAAAACCGAAACTAGCCGCTCGAGGCCCCGGCAACACTGGAAATCAGCCGCTATGTGAACGTGACGTCGGGATCATTCTCGTTCAACGAATACGCAGGCCGAGCGGCACCTATCTCTGTTGTGCTCGCCATCTAAAGATAGGAGGTAAGCTAGTTTTGTTTTAATTCTGTATGCGTGGTAGTTATCCAGCAGATGTAGCAAGAGTTAGTGCGTATACCCAAAAGCTAGCGACCGGAAAACCCGTGAACCCGTACGGTGCCTCACTCGGGCTGCCGCCGTACGTGTGCTATATGCCGTGCTCGGCGCTCGTATACCCAAAAGCTAGCGACTGGAAAACGAGTGAACTCGTTCGGTGCCGTACTCGGCGGCTGTCGCCGTGTGTGCGGTCTTCGGTATACAGTACTTGGGGCCCTCTCGCATTCGCGCTGCGGGTCAGTCCCAGACACAAAGCTTTGAGGCTCTCCGGCGCGGGCTGCGGCGCCCGAACACAGGTGTGCTGGGCTGTACACGTCTGTTTTTTCATTCTTTTTTCCTCGGGCGCGGAAAACGCCGAAGTCCAAAGTCTACTTGTCGAACAGCGTTCACCCACACCTTCTTCAATTTCCGGTTCGTTGGAAACTTGTGAAAAAGCACCTCCGGGTTGCGCAGCGGGTTGTTTGAGCAGCCCACAGCGCTACAAGTTGCACTCGGCATCTTTCGAGGAACAGCTGGGCAGTCTTGGGCGCACCGAGTTGCTCGCTTATAGGAGTCTTGGAGTCCTCGCAAGCAAATGAACAAAAGGCTATACCGAAGCTACACGGACTGCAGATAAAAGCAACGGCTAAACACGCCAATCACAAGCAGAGGTAGTGGTGGTAGCGGCTCAAAGAAGCGCACTCCGCGCAACGCCCGGACCGAAGGAAAAAGAAGATAATGTTAAGGCCCGTTCACACTCTTGCAACCGAGTACGACCGAGAGAGACCAGACCGGTTTTTAAGCCTCTTGCGATCTCTTAGGACCAGCTCCGCTGCCTCGCATCCGGTCCTAAGGAGTCGCTCTCAGTCGTACTCGGTCGCAAGAGTGTGAACGGGCCTTTACTGACGTCACGGCCCAATGTTGCTTCAGCGATCGGCAACCCGCTGGCCGCCCGCTAAGGAGCGGCGGCTCGTGGCGGGTCCCATTTTTATTATCGGCATTAGTTGAGAATGCGGCGTCCCACGGACGTAATATTTTGGCTGGGGTCGTATTTTGTGTCACTACAGCGATACCAGTAATTTATTTCATTTTGAGTTTTGGCCGGAGTTGCCCTTTAAAAAGTCACCAGCAGTTGTATTTGCCTCACTTAGGGTTTGATAGCATATCTGTTCTTCAGTTATGATGTGCCGTGGTCTTGCACATAGTTCCCTCGGTTTCGGTTCTGGTGCTGGTGCCAGAGTTCTACGGGCTGTTGCAGCTTGAATCGCATTATAAACTAGCCAACTTTAGGGAGAGAGTGGTGGGTTTAAATGGCAATGCTCATTCCTAATCTGTGCCCGCTACTTGCAGGATGTGTATGAATTGCAACTGGATGAGGACCGTGCTTTGGCAGCACAGGATGTCTTCAACAAGTATCTCAGTGAACAGGTGAGGAACATGCACGGCCTGTTGAACGTTGCTCAACCGCTGCTCAATCTGTGCAGTCGACTGAATTTGTGGACGTGGTCAATGAAGAGCTCTTGGAGAGATGCAAGCAGGGCCTGGCGGAGGCCTCCAAGGACCTGTTTGCCGAGTGTGCCAAGTAGGAGCGGGTAGTGGCGCTTCCTGGGCCGTGCCCGACAGCTCCCTTTTTGCAGGGTTGTCAAGGACTTCCTCACGGGCGGTCCCTTCCACGAGTTTGAGGGCAGCTTGTACTTTGACCGGTACCTGCAGTGGAAGTGGCTGGAGAGCCAGCCCGTGACGGCCAAAACGTTCCGCATGTACCGCGTGCTAGGCAAAGGTGGCTTTGGGGAGGTTTGTGCCTGTCAGGTGCGTGCGACAGGCAAGATGTACGCCTGTAAGAAGCTGGAGAAGAAGCGCATCAAGAAGCGCCGGGGAGAAACAATGGTGCTGATAGAGAAGCAAATCCTGCAAAAGGTCAACTCTCGCTTTGTGGTGAGTGAGCCCCAGCCGGGCGGGCCCCAGCCGGGCTGATGGGGTCCCTTTGCAGGTGAGCCTAGCGTATGCCTACGAGACGAAGGACGCCCTGTGCCTGGTGCTGACCATCATGAATGGCGGCGACCTCAAGTTCCACATGTACTCGATGGGTGGGGAGCCTGGGTTCGAGCCGCAGCGGGCCCGCTTCTATGCAGCGGAGGTGACGCAGGGCCTGGAGCACCTGCACGCCAAGGGCATCGTCTACCGGGACCTGAAGCCCGAGAACATCCTGCTAGACGACCACGGCCACGTGCGCATCTCGGACCTGGGCCTGGCCGTTGAGGTGCCCGACGAACAGGACGGGGTGCGAGGCCGTGTCGGCACAGTGGGCTACATGGCACCCGAGGTGATCGACAATGAGCGCTACACCTTCAGCCCGGACTGGTTCAGCCTGGGCTGCCTGCTCTACGAGATGCTGGAGGGCCAGGCCCCGTTCCGGGCTCGCAAGGAGAAGGTGAAGCGGGAGGAGGTGGAGCGGCGGGTCAAGGAGGAGCGCGAGAAATACTCAGCCAAGTTCAGCGAGGAGGCCAAGGACTGCTGTCAGCAGCTGCTGGCCAAGAGCCCCAGCACCCGGCTGGGCTGCCAGGAGGGCCGGGCAGGGGCCGGCCAGGTCAAGACCCACCCCTTCTTCAAGAGTCTCAACTGGAAGCGGCTCGAGGCCGGCATGCTGGAGCCGCCCTTCGTGCCGGACGTGAGTCGAGGTGTGCGGGGCAGCCAGGGGCAGGGCTCTGACAGGCGGGTCCCCTTGCAGCCCCATGCTGTGTACGCCAAGGACGTGCTGGACATCGAGCAGTTCTCGACGGTCAAGGGAGTGAACCTGGACGCCAGCGACGACTCCTTCTATAGCCAGTTCAACATGGGCTCTGTGTCCATCCCCTGGCAGACCGAGGTGGGCCCCCAGGGTGCAGGCATGGCGGTCTCTTCATGCCCCTTGCTCGCAGATGATCGAGACGGAGTGCTTCAAGGAGCTGAACGTGTTTGGACCCAACCAGAGCCGACCCCCGGACCTGTGCTGGGAGCTGCCTCCGTCGGAGGACCGGCGGGGCTGCTTCCCCTTCCGCAGGAAGCCCCGGGCCCGGGCCGTGGCGCCTCCCAGGGAGGCGGACACAAGCTGAGCACTCCCCCGACTATGCAGACCATGTGGCAGTATTCCAGGCATAATTGTTGCACCCACTCGGAGCCCAAACCTTTCAGGGACCCTCGTTTGGTGAATTGTTTGTGCAACGCTAGTCATGGCATTCCTAGTGGGCGGACTACTCCTATTTATTTGACCGACCATGTTGTGGAGTCACCTGGCACCATTGACACCCGTGTCATCCTAACAAGCAAAAATGCCAACCTTGCATTTGGGTTCCTTCGTAATTGCAGGCACGTTTGCAAGTCAACCTCATGGCAAGCCCTCCCTTTGTAAGTGTGTGTTTCAGTGCAGTTGTGATTGTGCCATTTACATTTTTGTAAATAATGTCAACCATGGTAAACTTGACTGTTTTGTGACTCCTCCAAATAAACTGTCATCTCTTGGTCACTGGCAGTACCTGGTTGTTGCTCCATTCAACATACTGCAACTTTGCAAAGGTTGCTGCAGTCTCCTGGTTGTTTTAGAGCGCAGCTCTTAGGGGCCCGTTCCCGGCTTGAGCGGCGTCGGCGTCGCCGTCGCCGTTGGCGTCGGCGTAACCGCAACCCTCGTAACCCTCGTGAGGGTTACGAGGGTTAATCTCATGAGGGTTACCCTCACGAGGATCACGAGGGTTACTTACCCTCGTAACCCTCACGAGGGTTAGTTACCCTCAAAAGGGTTACCTTCACGAGGGTTACCCTCACGAGGGTTACTTACCCTTGTAACCCTCACGGGGGTTACGAGGGTTAGTAACCCTCGTGAGGGTAACCCTCGTGAAGGTAACCCTTTTGAGGGTTAGTAACCCTCGTGAGGGTAACCTTCACGAGGGTTACCCTCACGAGGGTTATGAGAGTTACCCTCACGAGGGTTACTTACCCTCGTAACCCTCACGAGGGTTAGTAACCCTCGTGAGGGTTACCTTCACGAGGGTTACCCTCACGAGGGTTATGAGAGTTACCCTCACGAGGGTCACGAGAGTTGCCCTCACAAGGGTTACTAGGGTTACCCTCACGAGGGTCACGATGGTTACCCAGGTCAAGTGACCCCCCCTGGGGTCACGTGACCTGGGGATACCCCCCGAGGTCACGTGACCCCCCGTTGACGTCATAGCCACTGATGACGTCATCAGTGACGTCACCGGCATCCGCATCGTCATCGTCATCATCACTGATGACGTCATCAGTGACGTCACCGGCATCCGCATCGTCATCATCATCACTGATGGCGTCATCAGTGACGCTACTGATGACGTCATCGGTATCGTCACGTGGCCCCAGGTCACGTGACCCCCCCCGACGTCACGTGACGCCACAAGGTCACGTGACTCCCACAAGGTCACGTGACTCCCACAAGGTCACGTGACCCCCCGCCCCCCGAGGTCACTTGACCCACCCCCCAGTACCCTTCCCTCCTCCTCCTCAAGAGCTGCGCTCTAATTTGGCGTTACAGGGAGTTGTAAACGGCTTTCATTTTTTCACTCTGCACTTGTTCCCTCCCTTTGGCTCTGGTACTCCCCTAGAAGTGTTTGGGTAGTTCTTAGGTATGTCAAATAGATGTGAATAACTGCACGAGGGAAGTATCGGGTACACATCTCGTGAGGGAATGAGATCTCTGTATCTCCAGCTCTGATGTTGACGGGCAATATTGAACTATTTCATGATTTAAAAACAATTGCTGAACTCGGTACCTCAAATACCCTGCAGTCTAATTGGTGATTTGCTGGTTTTCTCCCTATGGGATCTTTGACTTCTCATAGCCACTGACAAGGTTAAAATGGCAGGAATGAGTTTCAGTTGTCCCGCCTCCAGCATGAGCATCCCAACTTTGATAATGCTTCGGCATCTCAAGAGTTGAGTGTACGGTGCTCACCAACAGTGGCATACCAACTAGTTTTTGAGTGGGGGGGGGGGGGGGGGGGGGGGGGGCAAACCAGACCCCCCCACCCCCAGGGCCAATGCCCTTGGTATCCTCTGGGTGCCGCCGGGCTGTGTTTGCCCTGCCCAGTGGGGGCAAAACACATGCCTTGCCCCCCACCCCCCACACTCTAGGAACTGGGAGGGCAAGTGCCCCCCAGTTCCTAGAGTGTGGGGGGTGGGGCAAGGCCCCCAAACTTGGCGGAAACGCACAAACGGCGTCTTGTCTTAAGGGAGCGCTATCCTGGCGGCAACCCAAGAACTGCTCTGTGACTTAAAGGGAAGCTACGGAGCTTCTTGGAGAAAATGAGTTAGAAGTGAATTCTAGTGTATTTTTACCCCGTGAACCCGAATACCCAAACCATTTGCTGCGTAAATATTGTTAAACGCGAGAAAAACGCGAAAGACAGTCGCTGTCCGTGACGTCATTGACGGCTCTTTTGGCTGCCCAAGGCTAGGGGGGCGGGGCTTCAGCCCTATTTTGAAATTGCTCTTGTGGCTCTCCGGCGCGTCGCATTGAAATATAATTTTGATATCTGTTATTCTAAAGGCCAAATGAACGCAATTCATGCGTTTTTTCTCAAATGTAGAAGTGCCCCATCTTCCCTTTAACCCTCAATGGAACAGTCTACAAGGGAGGCCGCTCGTTCAAGGGCAAAATCGCTGCTGGAGGTCAACGTAGCGAGTTTGCCTGCAAGGCAGTCTCGCCTCATTCAGTGGAAGCATCGGGTGCTTGTCATCGCAGACTGCTTCAACAGTCCCCTATGCATCTTCACGCAAAAAGGTGGAGGTAAGTATAGATTCATCAGCCAGCGAAATTGCCGTAGCGTTGACGGTCTAGCGAGCGGACTCTCCTGCTCAGACTTCCATTGTGCGCCACCTTGTAGAGCAGTTCTTGGTCATCACCAGGATAGCACTCCCATTACATCAGACCGTATTTGCGTGTTCCGGATAAGTGATGGCCACTCAACATATGCAGCCAAAGCACTTCTGAAGGCAACGAGCACATGCTGGAGGTGGGGCGTCTGAAAGAGATGCCCTGCCATGTTTGTCCCGCCTACGACTATAGTTGCACATGCTTCTCTGCCTGGTATAATTCATTGCAAACGTCTCGACGTGGGTTTTACCTGCCTTCTCTTGACTTGGGACTCCTAATGTGAGACTTCTTTACAGATTGGCTGTTGCCTTTTGATTATTTCTATATTTCAAGCTCGCTTCCTATTACCTCATTATTTGTACTTTTGTGGTCTGTGCCCCAACTTTCATCCAGCCTTTCCAACATGAGTGCAACAACTTCATACTTTTCCATTTATAGTTTCACATACTTTTCAATCTGTGGTACTTAAATGAAAAGTTTGCAGCAGCAGTTTGGTCATACCCAGAAAAATTGCAAGTTACGAGAGGGGTTCAATAATTTATCTACCAGAGTACGAAAAGTAGCAAGTGTAATGGGCATGTTGTGACATGCCTCAAAGTTCCTTATTCTCAGTTGCGGCTCGGTGCAAGTGTAACATTCCGAGAGAGAAAGCATCCTCGTGTGAATAAGTTAACGGTGCTAGATTTGGAACAAAACGCGGCAAAAATATTTTGTCGCAAAAAGAAAAAAAAGCTAAAGGAGATTTATGAGTGCATGGGTACAATTTATGTAGACTACCCCATCGTCTTGCAAAGTAAAATTTTATAGAAAAGTTAAGTGGGGTAAAGAGTCCACTAGAGGTGATCCTCAAACTGGACAGCCTGATCCATTAGAGTAGATTTGGAGCATAGTCATGGTTAATAGTGCATAAAAGCAACCGTACAGATTGTTTTCCCCCCTTTATTAGCCCCGAGAAGTTCGCGTGGCGCCCCCTTACGGCAAACCGGGGTGACGTCACGGCGAGGAGAGAATTTTTCCCCGACTCGCCCAGCTCGCCCTGTGGAGGCTGTGACGACGCTAGCTGACGGGGCGCTCGTTTCTATTCAATGTTTTTGGCGTGCTTTTCGTAGGAAGTGTAAATTTTTATATGTGCCTTTATTGAGGTACGTCCTGTAGCTACATACGAAACTTCAACCAACATTTTAAGCATGGTTGACAGGGCAGGCAACGCTTGAATCACAGCTGGTATATGAAAATAAAGAAATATGGCCACAACTGCAGGAGCATCACTATAGATTTACATCTCGCACAATAAATGCTGCTGATGGTCTGAATGAATTGGCAGGTTATGTATAATTTTTTTGTATCTCTGTTTTTAAACAAGATCGCCGAAGCAGAAAAGCTGCTTGCTGCTCGAGCAACATGTTAAATACAGTATGGGCCATGAAGATAGAATCACAAGTAAGACAGCCCAAGTGCAGGGGCAAAGTAAGAAAACAAGGAACATTTATTATATACATTGCTTGCATTTGACCTCTGCTGGATTCGGATAGTATTTCAATGGACTACACGGGTGGTATCAGTGGACTTGTTTATATCAACCCTCAAGTAATGTATAACAAACGTAAGCGAAGGTGTCTAGCTCGTTATTAGCCCCTTAAGCCCTAAAATTGAGATTTTACTTAAATCGATTGTCCTGAAACTAAAATACCAGAAGCTTTTCTCACGCAGACTGTCGCCCTTCACAGGTTCCACATTTTCTGCTACTAGTGCTGCATCTACCACGGGACAGACGTTCGAATGCTTGCTTTTACTCCTGCTTTCCTCTGATGTCAGAGAGTCCAGCTGTCGGGAGTTTGGAGGCTGAGGAAGCTTTTGGAGACCTGCAGCAGTGTCTCTTTTAATTGAAAATGACAATTCAGACTAAACGGTGTATTTTCGGAATACCCAAGGCTGGAATAAAGTATGTCAGGAAAAAGTATAAACATTCCATATTACGGCACTATTGCTGTGCATAGTTTCGCAGTTCAATACATATGATACAGACAACTGGGGGCAATTCGGCCGTTTTTGCTGCTACCATACAAACTATATTCCAGTAATTGTGAAGCTTCTAAGAAATATGCCTGCATAGGTGTATAAACTATATAATTAATTCACGAAGAAGCTACATTTATGTAAAACAACCCGGTTCCACGAGCACTTTCGAGATCATCAGACGCAGGGCCTTTAAAACATCTGCGAACTAGCGCATGCAGAGTGGCAGCGCAGAGTCAGGGTCGTGAGCTAATTTGCCGACCACCCAAAGGCCCATGATATAAATGCCACTTCAAATGCCTTGAAAGCGGGATGTTATATTGTCTTAAATCATGAACGTGCAAGGAACAGAATTCCAACGTCTGAAACATTTGCGCCGTGCACCGCTTCACCGAGCCCACGCAAGATAGCCTTGTGTCGTGTGGACGGACGGGGAGGTTCATTGGCGGAATTGCCTCCGCCGAAAGCTTTCGAGATTTGTATTCCAATTTTAAAGGTAAAAGGGATAAGCAGGTTTATAAAATGTACGGAAGCACGTCAATATCGGCCTAACTCAACGTCTTGCACACCAGGTAAACGAAGTCCAGCTCCTCGAAGAGCTTGCGGCA